ATCCCAAAGTAATCCAGCCCGCACGAAAAGTCTGAAATATATCTTTCAAGAGATAAGAAACTCTTAAATTGGGTCCGCGAACCCCCAGGGTCTAGCATGTTTTCAAAATATGTTCGTGTAGTATTTGTAACGATCTGATAATATCTCAAATTACATTATCTTAGTTTAATTGTAGCACCTTGAGTTACAACATATTGTTTCAGAAGAATATTACATGGTATTATTCATTGCAAAGGAATTTTGAGGGCAACCTTTTTCACATGACTACAGTACTTTATTTATAGTTTTACATGAAGGTTATTGGACTACCTGTGTCAGTTTCTTCTAGTATCTATCTTAACCGAATGTATCTTCATTTGATCTGATATTGGGTTTGTCTTCTTAAAGGCGTTAATATGGAATAATACCTAGGTTTTCAGAAACGGTTTCAAATAAAAAAGTACGTATAATTGATTATTAAACTTAGACTATTAAATACTTCAAAGGATAGGTAATTTACGTAAAGTTCATACGTCCTAAGGGATAGTATATCTGGTATTATGAACTTTTATTTAAATGACTAGATCCTTTGACAAGGGCTTGAGGGCCGAGGAAGAAATTACGCAATTCTAAACTAACTGAGCTTAAAACACTCGACAAATTGACACGTATTTTAGTGATTATGTATTACATCATTGACTTTTGATACAACATTGACTTCCTATTTACCAGCTGAAAGCATTTTAACATTGTTGCATTTAAAAGAAGCTCTCGCAGAGTATAACAATGTTTTGACATATTTGCTTAAAAAAACTTAAAAAAATATATTTATGAATTGAAAATAAAAGTTAATACAAATGTTTTTACTTCACATACATAGAAACCTCACTAAAATGTAAATTAAATATACTTTCAATATGTAAAAAAATAATAATATTGGTTAAAATGAATAATATTACTGAAACACAGTACGGCTAAGAATTAAACGTAGACTTGGACAGTTGTTAGTTATGCCAATACAAATAAAAAAAAGGAATGAAAATTTATCGTAAAGATTCAGGAAAAGTTATGATTCTATGTGCCAGACTTGTATCTCACCGAAAATATCCAGGTGCTGTTTATAGACTTTATTGAATAAAGTATGCATACTAAAATTATGCACTAAGGGTTATTACTATATCAAGAATAGTATAAATCAACAATATATTATATATGCTTGATAAAATCTACTACATCCGTGAGAAAAAGAATGTTTCTTATATTCTAACTGATTCCCAGGCTTTATCAGAAAAGCTCTTCAAAAGCAACATCGTGCAAACTGCAGCCGAGAGTCTAACAATAGATTCAGGCTTGCATAATGGCGGGAAAGTGACAAGTTTTTGCCGCCAGAACTCCACCTTCAATAACGCTGAACAATGGATAACAACGTTACCCGTGGTCAGTATTTGCAGACACCCAGCCTCTGGGAGAATATTGTATAATAGTTGTCAATATTCGAGATATTATCAGCAATGAATGTATTTTTTTAAATTTTGCTATCAAAAATGCAACTTTGCATGTCGTCAAGACATGTAAAATATTTTACAGTCACAATACTGTCTCAAATACAAAAAAAAAAAAAAACTCTAATTTGTATATTGTATTTGTTAGACATTTTGCCGTTGAGTTTCTACAATAATCATAATTCTATAATATTTTGCTTTTTCCTGTCTTAGGCTGGGTAAAGCCATGAACAACAATAATTGTGGTTTTAATTTAAAGGCGAACTTCGGAGAGTATGATAAATAACTCGAAGCATTAGCTATGAAGTTAAAACATATCCTGCGTTCCAGCCACTTTGTAAAAGCACGGATAATACTTAATGAATAATAATAAAATTAAAGGGATCATAAATATAAATAATAAAAAACACTACAAAACAAAACAAATATATAGATCAAACCTATTGCAAAGGCAATGCAGCTATAGCCCGGTAATTGAGTGCATAATAGTGATCACCTAGGATTTAGAAAGTAACCGGTTCTTTCCTAAGAAGAGGCTGAACTATTTTGATGGTTCAAAACTGGTCTTAGCCGTCCTTGATAATTGGTCTTATAATAAATTTCCTGCTTGAAGAAACAGCTCATCATATTCATTAACAAAGCTAGATAAATAATTTTACTCAATCCAGGAAACCAAAAACCCCTAATCTCTTAGTTAAAATAAAAAAAAAAAAAACTCTTTAACTGTCCAAGCATTTAAGCCCTGATAAAAATTGTATTCAACTGTTGCATTTTTTATCTTACTTAAAGCTGGGCCATAAAATTTCACAGCCAAGTATGCGACATGCAGTCACCGAGTTCCGCCTTTAGTTTCTCTCGGTTTGTCAATGCACTCGCCACGTTTTGTCACACGTCTTGTCCTTTGTCACGGGCGAGCGTGACAATATGACAACGTGACAACGTGACAAACACGCGGTCTCACACTCGCTCGGACAAACTGCACTGCATCATCGAAATCGATTGAAACGGTCGAAGCTTCTATAGTCTATAAGTGTAAAGGCGGTCTACTGTTTAAACCGGATCAATACTTTACGTACACTAAAAACCTATCTACCAAAACTAAATAATTAGTACTGAAGCAAAATATGAAATACTTTAGAAGTTAGGGACAATTTATTTGCACTTGAACTAAATTTATGTTATGTAACTGAACTGCGAAGGTCCTAATAAAATTATGGTTGGGTAGGGTTCAAATGCTGAACCCTGTAAATTGAATTTTAAATTTAAGTATAATTGGTCAGTATGATTAATAATATGATATGATATTAATAATTTGGTCAGTATGATTATAATATCAGTTAAACTGTAGCATTGCGGGTTTGGAATTGTAAGAAATGGGTTTTAATACGGTAAAATTACTATTTGTATTTATTTATAATAAACTACCATACTGTTTTCATGTGTTAAGTGTATAGTATAAATACATAAAAAATATGACCATAAACAATAGTTATACCATTTTGCATACAAAGATAAAGTTAAATAATAAGATCAAACCTAAAACATTCACATTTTTAATGTAAATATAAAAAAATTATCTGTTCCAACATTAATTTACAAAATAAAATAAAATTATCCAACTTTGATCGAAATAATGGAGTGAACTACTCTAATAATCAAACGGCCAAAGACCAAATAAAGAAAGAACTTTGGGTTCTCTTTGCCAAAATCCCAAACTCAGCGCTTCGCATTAACCTCTCTGATTTACTTGAACTGTTCAACCAATCAGATTAGTTCTAAGCTCTAGACCATCTAAAACGCATTTCATTTTAATTGTTTGTGAAGATTAGTTGTGATAATTACCAAAATGGCGATAAACTATATCGTAATTACTCTGTTCTACCACTAGGCTTTTATCCAACATACATGTGTAACGATTAAAATAGCTGAATTTCATCACTTATTTAAGCTTTCTACAAATAAATAGTTCTGAAGTAGATATCAACGATGATTTACTTACTTTTTGCATTTTCATGGTGCAAAAATATTCAGCCTTTTTATAGCTAAGAAAAATATAATACTGTGATTTTAAGATTTTACTTCTGTAAGTAGTACCCAACCCAGTAGTACCACAAGTAGGAAGGTAATTTGGGCAACATTGTAGAAGTATTGTATATTAAGGTATTGCCAAAATAAATAACTATATTTTAAACATTTATAGATTAGTTATACCTAAATATAGTTTGAATGCATTATAAACTATGAAAGTAAACACATTATTTAAAAAACTGTTGCTATGCATGTATGCAATGTTAAATTTTAAAATATTATCTGTTCAAGTAGCAATGGATTTAGAGAAAGTTGGGCTCGAAGTGGAGAAATCCCACTCAGCTGAGTCATATATTTTTATGTTATTCATACAAGAGAAAGGTAAACTTATTGTTTAAAGTGTGAGCTCTGATCCACTGGTACCATAAAATAAAGCAACAATCTAATAGGATTGGTGGTACTGTATTCGAACCCGGTCCTTCTAGCAGCCGTTCTAATAGTGCAACCCGTCACTATTATTTTTGAGGGTTAACAGAACAATGCAAATAACAGGGCGTCTTTGCACATATTGCTTATTTTGCAAGGTTGAAAAACTCGTTTCCAAGACATAACAATTAATGCAAAATCCATATACATTAAAGAAAATTTAGTGAAAGGGTAAAAACTCTTTGGTAATTGTTGTACTAATTACTGTATATAGACCGAAGATATACAACAAAACCCATTGATTAACCACTTGGTTGGTTTGAGGAGTCAACGTATACTGCCAACAATACCTAATTGTTATAAATGTGTTACTTTTTGTTTATTTTAAAACAGGAAAGAAATTCGACCAAATTATTGGAGCCAACAGTTCAGCGTCATGACTGCATGTTTTACATCTGAAAACACAATCGTTGGATTATCTCAGAAGTATTTAATTTGTGTAGCGATATTTTTGAAACAAGTTCGACTGTTGATGTTCATAGATAAACTGGCTTTGTTTAATTACCTGTATCGAAACCAGTTAAAATACAGCGTGAGTCAAAATTAACTTTGGATTTGAGACGTGGTATAAAACATTACATCTAGCTTACAGTTGTTATGAATTGTACATTTAATGAATAGAACATATTGCCATGGTGTCATAATAATTGGTATGTTTGTTCATAGCAATGTTTTATATTTACTAACCCGTATAAATCAGCCGGAAATAATATTCTAAGATATATTCAAGTCCATCGACTCTTAGTTGTATGAGTTCTATTTATTGCGTTTTACTTTTTCAACTATTTTTATTAACAAAGACCAAATAGAACGATCTACTTGTAAACGAATTCGTGTACGCTGACCTTTTAACACAATTAATTGTAAAATCACATGAAATACACATCAAATTAAAACACTCCAGATTTTATTTAGACCCAAAGTATACCTTAAACAAATAAAATCCAAGATCATACTAACCTTTATGTTGGGATTTAATGATTTTAATAATTAAATGCCACTTACCGACGACTATTCTGCTGTATCCAACAGCGTTGTCCGCCGCTCTTCCAGGAGTAATCGCATGGTTCTGGTGTAGACATGTAAGTAGAAGAAGAAGTTTCACCTAAAAACAAAGACAGGGTTATTGTTCACGGTTTAAAGTAGTATAAAACTACGTAATTGTGGTAAAAAAATAAAACAATACTATGAGTGGTTAGTCCAGGTTATTCGAGAAATACCAATGAAGCAACACGAGTTTAAGCAATTTGTAGTTTCAGGGTAGGGTTTATAGAAAAACAAACTCATGTAAATCGATATATAGGGCGTTCATAAAAGGTGAGGAAATATATTACCTAGTGGTTTCTTGGGTCAAAATAAATAGAAAATTAAGAATAACATTTTTTCCAAAATCGCTTCGTTAACCAGATATCCACCATTTTGTATTTTTTACATACAAATATTTATCTTTAGGCTTTCCCAACCGATGTTTTTGAAACTAGGTATATATGTTAAGGTAGGAGAGACCCATGTTAGAAAATAAATTCATCTCCATTCAACTTAAAACTTAAAAATGGCGGTCATTTTAATTTTTTAAACTTAAATTACTCAAAATCGGTTGATTTTATGAAAAAATGTCAAGAACACTTTTATTTAGGATTTTTAATTCCCTATCCAACGGTTTCGAAAAAGAAATGGCTTAAATATTAAGATTTTTAGTTGTAAAATGGGGTAAAAAGAGTTATCTGGTCAGTTTTGCCCCCTTTTACAACTAAAATCGTAATATTTCAGCTATTTATTATTTGGTCTTTTTGAATTAACAATGCTAAATTAAAGTGTTCTTGGCATCTTTTCATAAAATCAGCAGTTTTTGAGTAATTTAGGTTTAAGAAATTAAAATGGCCATCATTTTGAAATTTTATGGTGAACCAAGATGAATCTTTTTTATAAGATGGATCTCTCTTACTTTAACATACATAGGCCTACCAAGTTTCATAAACATCGGTGGGAAAAGTGTAATGATTAATATTTGTATGTAAAAATACTAAATATCGGATATTTGGATAACGAATCGGTTTTGGATAAAATGTTATAATTGATTTTCTATTTATTTTGACCCAAGGAATCACTAGGTAAAATATGTCCCAACCATTTTTTAACACCCTGTATAATGAAATTGTAAAGCTGCAGAACAATTGAATGCGTTATATTTTCCTCCTTAAATCATTCGAAGGAAACTCTGGATTTGAAATTTTTGTTCAATTATACCTAATGTTTGTTAATTAGGTACCACGTTTGAGATATAAATTAAAAGATATCATTAAAGAATAAACCGGGTAATGTAGGTGAGTGAAATAAACAATCGCAAACTTAACATGATTTTATTTAAATACATAGATATATAGTTCAATCGTTACATATGGTTTTATAAATTTAAGATAGGCTAGTACAATCACAGAGTAAAACATACTGGTTATCTATGTCAATCTACTGAACGGAGTTCAAAACCTGTAACAATTGATTCAAATCAAATCAAATCAAATCAAATCCATTTATTGCCATCAACATTATAAATACATGTATAGCAACGTCATACAATTTCATCACAGTATATCCATTAAGCTACTTAATATGTTCTAAAAATAAAAAAAAATCTAATCAAATTGTGTGTGTTTGTGTGTTCAAATTGTGTCGGCTGGACGAAGAAGCTAAACGATTCACTTGGTTAAGACTTGCCCTAAACGTAGTTGTGAAAGTTACGTAAAAAATACTAAGTGAAAATCGGCGAAAGAGAAATTTTAATAGTTAATCTGGGAGCTAAACGTACTGTTGAGCATTGACAGTAATTACAATAAAGCGGAAAGCTATGTTGATTATTTCCTTAACCCTGAGAAGTGGCTGTAAACATTTTACAGCTTTCTGTCACCTGCAGAACAGTTCCATTGTGACAGTGGACAGTCTCTTGGATATTTCTTTACTATTAAACCGAGTTCTGTACCTCTGTGTTGGTAGTGAAATTCCTACATATTTTTTTCTATAGAAACTAGTTTTGAACTTGTATGTTAGAAATTTGGATTTTTAGTTGGTAGTGTTCTTGACATTTCGTTAAATCATATAAAAGACAATAATATATTACAAAACAATTCTATCAAAAAACAAACTTTAGTTTAAAACAAAATGATTTTTTAGCTAAAAGGTTTTATTTATTTATCTCATGTTACTTACAATCGTGATAGTTGGTTGAAGGCGTTTGATGCTGCAAAGGAATTATTTCGTTATCACTACAAAACAAGTACTGCACTTTTTTTTGCTTTATACAGTTCGATTCACCCTATCAGTCCAGTCACAGTCCAGTCACAGTTGCATCTGCAATTTCTCAGTCAAACTATCAGTCATTTGGTTTCAGTCACTCTTCCGTCACTTTATTTAGAGTCTTGTTACAGTCAGAAATGTTTAATTAAAACACAATATTCTATAAAATTTTCATCGTCAGTCGTTGGTTGTAAAATAAAATGATTTATGATTTATACAAACAATAATTTAAATATAAACTCGATCATTTAAATAAAAAAAGTACTATTTTCTAACCTCAAATACGTCCGTCAGTCGTCAGAACAATAAACAAATATCGGTGAAAAGAAATCTGAAATTGACTGACGGACGCCGTCAGAACAGCTGGCGGAACTGCAACGGATGAGTGTAGATAGCAAATTAGAAACTCCATTAAAGAATATATTTGTTAACTGAGACGTGCCTGAAGTGACTGGACTGTGACGTTTCGTAACTGATGTGTGTGAATCGACCTTTAACTCTATTGAGGGAGTAAAAATTAAATAATTATTTTTTGGCATTGAGGGTTTCAAAGTATGTCAAATCATTATCTGACTGCCTTACGCTAACTACTGTATTAGTTTAACTGTAACTAATAAAATTGGATTGTTTTGATAGTAGATAGATAGATAGTAGTAAATAGATAGATTGTTGAGTGTATTTATGTACAATTCTTTTTTCGTTCAACCTTCTTGTTTATAGCTGTTATTACCAGCCTTTAACTATTTGACAATTCTTAGCCAACATTGGCTATTAATATAACCAAACATTTAATCCATAACTGATATTACCAAAAACTCCAAACATGGCTAACGTCATAAAGCGTATACCTTTGTGAATTTTTCTTATTTATATGTTAGAAGAACCAAAACAAAAACAATATTATTTTCAATAAACCCAATGGAAAAACTATAAATACTTTATTCGCTAAGGTAACTACACTATTTTTGACCTGAGGTGTGTGGCATTCATATAAAATGTTTAGATATAGCAGTAATTGTATTAGTTTTAACATATCAAACAACTGCGAACTCCAAATGATACTCCATATTATGTTCTGTGCACACACAGTGCTGAAGTGTACTATTTGTATTTATTTTATTTCATGATGTTAGTTCCAGTCCTAACTGAACCGATTCACTGATTAAAAACACCACAAACTAAATGAAAACCTATAGAATTTGGTTTTACTACAGAAGCCGGTATGCTGTAACACCTACTGTGTTTGCTTTATTTCACATGAGTTAATGTTCCGACTCAACAAAATAAATTCACCATAATGGTATTACCCTTTACAGTTGTCTGTGTGTATATTTATTATTTCATGTTGGTCAGTTGTATTCTTAACTGTACTACTGTATACATAAACCAAAGTAGACGGTCACCAATATACTGTAGCATCTACCACTATAAACCCCATAACAATCCCCATAAACTCTGTACTCACCACCGTAGCCGCCATGATGTAGCTGTGTGTAGCCTCCAGCAGCCACAGAGTGACTGATTGTGCTCCAGTGCGTGTCTAACTCCAGCACTCCAGTAGCTCCAGTGACTCCAGTCAACTCCAGCGCCCAAACACCGTCTTCCCACTTCTTATACATAACACATGCTTGTTGCATGCTCGATCGCTAAAGTCAGAAATTGATTTTTTACAAGTACTATACGTTGTAACCATGTTACGTGTTAACTTTTTGTAGCTGAATTTGATCGATGCAAGAGTTTCATGGGAAAGGTGCGAAAAGTGTTATAGAGATTTAAGTATTTTCAAAACACCGTTTGATAATTTTTCAAAAATTCAAAGAAATATAATATACGTCCGATTTATTCAGTACTGGTGATGTAGTGATTAAAGAGCAGGGATTCTATCCTAGAGACATATGTTAGAACCCAACCAATCACCAGTGGATTTTAGCTAAGTGATAATGTTATTATTAGACCAGGTGAAGAAAGATTTGCGAAAATTAAGATCAAGGAAAGGAACAGGAAGAGTCGGAGGCAACTTGTTGGCGAGGCCAAATACCACCTAGGGTATCTATGGCCATGGGAGTAAGTAAGTAAGTAAGATAATGATATTACTCAGGGGTTCGGAATCCACCTAAGTTACATAGACAAATTTTAGATCTCTCAGATAAGCAGACATTTTTTACGCTGGAAATCTTCCTTTACCATAAGTCAATAGATAATTCCTTTATGGAAGTGTACTCATTAATCTATACACAATGCTGTGTCATCATAATGCAATTGAAGTAAATCGGAATAAGATCTAGGTATGTTACAAAATGGAGGTTTTCTAACATTTTTCAAAAGCAGTTAACGTTAAAGATGCAGGTTTCGCATATAAAACACTAAGCTAACGTCAAAACGTCTTACAATTCGGCATCTCTATGTATTTGGTATGTAATATGTAAAAATATTGCTACCTCAAACGGTTCAAAAAGAAATAAATCGACTTTGCAAGTCAAAAGGCAAGTAATGTAGTCATTTTTCCCTTTGATAGTTTGGTCCTTACGAAATGTTTACAGCGTTTTGATGTACACTATCTAAAAGGCATTTTTGTTGCATGCATATATTGCATCCTCCTGCAATAAATTTTAATAATTTTGAATTATTACTATAGAGTTATTAAAAGTATATAATGTTATATTAAAACTATCACAATTTTACTGACTGATTAAAAAAGCATCATATCTCCTCACTACGATTAATTGTTTCGTCTTATTAACAACGTTTGAGAAGAGAACGTTTAATTTGTAGTTAAAATTTGTTCATAGGCTATAATATTTTAGTCACCTTGACTTATTACTTGAAAAAAGTTGTCTAAGGTAGCTAAGTGATTTTAGTTAAAATTTATGTAAAATATTGTTCGGTGATTCAAGCAAAAATCTTTTTGGCCTAACAGAACAATGTGATTAGTAAGATATTATTCAAATTTATAAAAAAATATTATTAGATAATGACATTATATTACAAACAACATACAAGTGCAATAAAATATTCATGTTTGAAAAGGAAGATATTGTTTTCGAAGCTCAGAAATACTCATATTTATATTGACACACTTGATCTGGAAAAGCAATTCAATTCTTGTCTTACTTTCTGTCTTTGAATGCGTCGCGGAATATTTCCTGACTAAAACAATAAAGGCAAACAGTCAAGTCTTTGATCCCTTGTATCACATTGTACTCCATGACTACTGAAGGAAACTGAAGAAATATAAGTATGAAAGCACAAATATTTAATTAAATTGTGGAACAATTTAAATAACTTAATTCATAGTTTTATGGTAAGTAATTTTCTACCATTTCTAAATAGCTATAGTCAACACACACACGTTATATATATAAAAAATAAATGTATATATATATATATATATATATATATATATATATATTTGTGACAAACACACTTAAAATTCTAAAAGTTCTTTATGGATATTAGGCCACATTACTAAATGAATGAAAATATAGCAGAGATAAAGCTTTTAACAGCTAGCTTTGATAGCATTTTATAAACATTCATAGAGAATTAATAGAATCACTAAGACAATACAATGGTATTTTGTTTCAATGGGATTTTAATTTGCAGTAGTTTATTTCATGATATGTCTAAGAACAGGACTTTTATTTGTCTAAAAAAACTTGAATTTTAAATTAGATTATATAAGGTTATCTTTTATTGTATAAACTAAAAATGAAATGAATACGTTGTGAGTTTAGTAGTTTGGCTTATAATTTATAAGAGAAATTGACATTATATTTTAATTTAATTTTTTATCTATCATCCTTGATGAAGTAGTTTTTGAATCTTGTCATTATTAGAAGACAAAAAAATATATTTTTGTTTGTAAGAGAACAGTATGCGTTTCACAATGCTAATGAGGTTTTAGCGTTGAAATGGACACGTACCAGTAATCTACATTTTCTGCGAAAATTAAGTTATTCTAGTAAATACAATTGGTTTCCCAAGCATAAGCTTTGTTCATCTTGTTAAGCAAACTTTATCAATTTGATAAACAACGCTTATATTGATAAAAAAATCAACACACCGACTTTGGTGACTAAGATGGATTTTAATCATAATATGAATAATCTACGAGCGGACCTATTGGTAATTAACTAAAGGTTATTAATGCTTAAATAAATTACTGTGATGAATGTCGTGTAATTAACAGGATGATAGTTTCAAGTGTTTTGAATCCTACAGAGGAACGAGATATTGTTTACAAGAAGCTGTACAACACATTTACTCGTCAAGTGGAGGTGAATTGTTTCTTCACCTCTCTTGGTTTCTGCCAACAACAGATCTTCTCTGCGGTGAATCATTGTTTTGTTTTACAAAACATTCGAAGTCTGTCGTGAATGCCTGAAGGTTACTTAAAACCTGAAATCATACCTTTAATTTTCATTATTTTGTAAAACAATATTGCAGTAATTTCGTCAAAATAAAAGTATTTATTGATATAGGGATGTTGTAAATAGCTTATTCATTTTCAAGGATAGCATATTATTTTTGAATGAATTAAATAAAATGTTATTAATAGTTGTAATCTTTTAAATCTAACAATTCAAGTATTTCAAGAATAAGTTTGTATTCATTTTAATCAGTAACCTATAATTCTGTTGTACTTATTAAAGTTTCAGTTTGAATTCAATTTTAATAAACACATGTCCTATCTTACTAAATCAAATTATAGAACATAAAATCTATAGCTTAAAGAATGTTGAACTATTGGCTATCACTATATCATTGCATGTGGAACAAAACCAACCGGACTATCCCTGGTACAAATTGTCAAGCAATGGCCTGCTTCAAAAATATTGAAGAACACATGTTGTGAAAACCTACCAAGAAAGAAAGCCAAAATGCAGATCTAAAATTCTGCCAGTGTGCAAAAGAAATTATATGAAGAAATATGTTGAAGTCAACATTTAACAGAAAAAACAACATGATTAATAAAAATTCAACAATAATCATCTATAAAGAGAACTATACGTAAGTGATTGATTTTTTTTACTTCAAGTTTTTTATTTATTTAACAAGACCTTTCTTTTTTAACAGGGTAACTTGCCCTATAATTTATAATTTTAACTGACCTTTCATCAGGTATTACAATTACAGACTTATTTATAGCTAAAAAAACAGTCCCACTTTTTTCCTAACATAGGAAAACCTCTTTTCTACATTTCAGCCACTCCAAAGTTAATTACAAACATAGCAAATAATAAACAAGTTTGTTGATTTTTAAATTTATATCAAAGAAAGGAAAAATCAAATGTTAGCCCTAACAACTCATTAGTCCTAAAAGCAGAAACAGAATATATATTTCCTATGTTATCACCAAACCTAATTTTAAGCAGAAATGCGTAATTCGTAATAAATATTTTGCCTTGATCTAAATTGAAATCTATTTACTCATAATGTAAAAAGAACTAAAATGTTATTGTAATAGAATTTTTCTGCTCCATTACTATTTAATCAGGCTTACAAATTGAACGATAATATAAACAAAAAATAAATTAAAACTTATATCAATCAATGAAGCTCACGTGAAGGCTACAGTAACACATAGAATGATTTTCGCTACTGACTTATCGAAGGGACAACTCTTGATAAAGGACAACATTTATGAACCAAGACATTGAAGTACCTAGAACAAGAAGGGAATATGAGGACATAAAGTTGGCGTAACACTATATTCCAAACCACCGATAGAGTATAACATGTTGTGATGAACCAATACTTGGGTTCGGGAGAGAATATGACGAGGTAGTCTTGACATAACAATGGTTTAGAAACTACCAATCAATCGTCTGGATTGAAAGAAGTTTTTGAGCTGATTGACTTTGCAGTAATACCATTATTAATACAAAGTATTTTTTAAACAGAGTATGTGCTTCTTAAGGATTTCATCAACAAGTAATTTTAACTTACTATAGTAAGTAGCTTTAGTTTCATTTTTATGAGTGAAAACTAGGTATAAAAAAAACAATAGATAACTGTAGAGTTATATGAGTTAGTACACATACAAAGTTTGTTTGTTATGAACAAATAAATGAATAATAAATAATATTAATAAAACATTAAGCTACAATCATTGTTTATTCTATGCAAATACGTGATAGTTTTGTAGTAGCCTACTAGGCACAATTTGTACAAATAAATAAAAACCAACCTTATGTAATTGAAGTATATTATGATAAAATACATATACATACAATAGGTGTCTTAAGCTTCAATATTTATTTATTGTGTTTAAAAGAATTTATTCCGATGAGAACTGCAAAGATGACATGAAATTTTAAAAACTTGTTCAAAACACAAAGTTTTTAAATGTTTACAAGTGTAATCCAACCCATTGTATGAAATAATGATACATTATTACGTAAGTTATTATCTGATTATGTAAAAAAACTGATCAACAATCTGATTACGTAGTTTATGTATTTTACTTTTTAATGCAATGTAGTTGACTGCAATTAGAATATTATTATCATGAATTAATATTCAGACACTTATTCATTTTTCGAAGTAAAGGTAAATATTTTGACATAGAGAGTGAAAGAAGGCCTGACCATTAGGAAAACGCCTGGTTTTATTGTTAAGCACGCGATCTCATTCAACATTTCAAGTTGAAATCCTCCAATCATTGAATAGACTTGACTTCATTATGATAAATAAATAAATATACACAAAAGAGAAATATGATGTGGATTAATTTCAGCAAAATGTATTGATCAAATTATGAAGACTGAAGTATGAAAAGGGGCGAAAAACCAGACGGCTCAGTAAACATCCAGACATAGTATCTCTAGCAGACTATATGGATAAGATAAGGTCATGTGTCAATGAGAGAATTGAACCTTCACTCATCAAAACGCATTTCAAGTAGTGCCACCAGATATACAGACGTCCACTTAGCAGATGAAGGATGAGATGTGAAGACAAAGTAATGAAGGTCATATCCTGATCGGGAGAGGAGCTTTTTAACTAGGCTCTAGACCTAGAGTATTTCTTACATTACTTCAGCCTAGGCCTTGAGGTCACGGTATTATTAATTGGATAAAATACATTGGTGATTGGTGGGGTTTTAGCCCGGGACCTTGAAGACCGAAGTCCCACACTCTACCTTTAGGCAGGATCGCTCCCATGAGAAAGGCATTGAAAATATTAGGGGTAGATGGGAGGTGAACATTAAATACGTACCAAAGTCCTCTTGAGGCTACGATTCCCAAAGGTACAAAGACCAATTTTTCTGTTTTATTTTCGACCTCAATGTTTCGATGTTATGCCCCCACGCTCTCACACGTACCGCGTCTATGAGAAATACCGAATTGTATTAATTGGTTTCAGTGGTAACAGTAACAAATTGAATAAGTAAATGTATGTTTTGAATAACTTTTACAGCTCACGTGTGTTTTTTTTAAGTGGTTGGTCTAACTGATATGCGGTTGGTCTAATTGATATGGGGTTGATGTAATTGATATGTGGTTGGTCTAATTGATATAGTATGCCTTATAACAAAGAGTATATTTTTGTACAAACAGAAAATTAAAAATTTAAATCTCAAGGGTGTTTACTGTAACATTCTACTTTTTAAAATTATGTATCCCTGTCCCTTGTCAAACCTATTTATTTTCTCGATTTTTTATAAAACCAAAATTAGTTGTTAAGGCTTCTTATTGGGAGAAATACAAACATAAGAAGAACGAAAGATAGACTGCCTGATGTAGGAGGCCACTAATACAAGACTTGTACGAGTACCTTCTTGCATACTAACAATAGCAGGGGCAAGGCAAAATAATGCTCAGTTCCACATAAAACTTTTTTTAATTGTATACATTTATTAAAAAAAATTTCACAATTTTATTCTTTAACTTAGGTTTCAAATAATACAGAAGACTTACACATTTTCGCTGCGATGAACAAACATATTTGCATACACTAATACTTTAAATACTCTTAAATTAATGCATTAACCATTGTTTAAGCGATTATCAAAATTAGCATTATAAGCACTTGTAGGATTTAAAGTTTGTTCATAACATTCTACTTAGGAAACTGTTTTTCAACTAAACCCTTCTCGCTCCTAAACCCTTAGAAGATCCATAAATTAGAAGGGTTTGGATTTCATATTGACGTTACAATATATAAAAATAAATTATCCGGTCCATTCCACCATAAATGATGAGTCACAAGTTGAGAGGGTGAAAGACCACGAGTGGCGCAATCTGCCGGGTTGTCTTGAGATTTGACATAATTCCATGAGTGAGGAGAGACCAATTCTTGGAGTTCTGAAATACGATTGGCAATGAAGACTTTCAAGCGGTATGGAAGAGTAAGTATCCAGGTTAGGACAATTGTGGAGTCACACCAAGCATAGATTGATTCAATCTTCATATGAGCAGAGAGTATGTTTGAAGAATATTGAAGAAGTTTTCCCAGTAAGTGAGCGCCACAAAGTTCAAGCCGTGGCAGAGAAATTATTTTCAAAGGAGCGACTTTTGATTTAGAGACGATGAGATGGAGCCTTGTATTCTCTTGAGAGTCAGTGACACGAAGGTAGACAACAGCAGCGTAGCCTTTCTCTGAAGCATCGCTGAAGCCATGGAGTTGCACAGCCGTATGCAGAGAAGTAGAAATGTAGCGTGGAATTCTTAATTCTTGAATTATTGGGAGTTCTACTAAGAATGAATGCCACTTGGTTCTAACATCATTTGGAACAGGTTCATCCCAAGTTAGCCCTGTTGTCCAGAGATACTGAATAAGTGTGTTTGCCCAGAAAATTACGGGTGTAAGAAATCCTGGTAAATCGTACAGTTTAGCGATTGTAGATAATATTCTTCTCTTTGTAAGTATAGCACTTATTTCAACATCCTTAACCTTATAAGAAAGCATGTCGGACTCTGGAGTCCATTTTAGACCTAGGACACTGAAGAAGGCTTCACTATTTTCAGTTAACTCCACTGGAGTCTCTTTGTGTTCAATTGGGACTTGGTCCAATAGTTGGGGTGCGTTGCTAATCCATTTTCGGAGTTCAAAACCTCCTCTAGAGAGCAAGTTCTTGAGTTCATTCTGTGCAGACAAAGCTTCATCAAGACTTTCTGCTCCAGCGATGATGTCGTCATAAAATATTGATTTAGTTAGAATCTCAGACGCCTTGGGGTATGAGTGACCCTCATCTTTGACCAATTGTTGTAATGTTCTGATCGCAATGAAGGGGGAACAGTTGAGACCGTAGGTGACGGTATTTAACTTTAAGACTTGAAGGGATTCATCAGGGTTGGATCGCCAAAAGATTAACTGATATTTCTTGTCATCTTCAGCCCCCAGAATCTGGCGATACATCTGTCGTATATCACAAGTGAACACAAACTTGTGACACCTAAAGTACAGCAAGACATCACTAATATCATTCTGCAACTTAGGGCCAGGCATGAGGATATCGTTTAGGGAGACGCCATTGTTTGTTTTGGAACTACCATCAAATACGACTCGTATTTTGGAATTAGGGGGATTCTCCTTAAATACTCCATGATGGGGTAAATAGTAACATTCACCAGAAAGGGGTTGCTCACATGCACTCATGTGACCTGATTTGATGTAGTCATCCATAAATTCGGAGTATAAATCTTTGAATTCGGGCTGAGCAGCAAATTTTCTTTCCATCGCTTTAAGTCTAAGTTGAGCTGTACTACAAGATTCACCTAATAGTGGATGATTTGGTCTTTTCGGTAACTTAACAACATATCGACCAGAGTTATCACGTGTATGGGTTCTTTCAAAATGCTGTAAGCAGAGAACATCTTCTTCTGACTGAGTCTTGACACATGTCGGGGGTTCTTCGATTGACCAAAACCTTTGAATTGAACTGTGAAGGTCTCCATCATGTGTAGTGAGAAAAGAAACAGTTTTTGGGATTGATAACTCAGATGTAGCAACAGGAGCTATGCCCATTACAACAAATCCGAATATAGTTCCTAAAACTTGGGGCAGGTTATGGCCTAAGAAGTGCTGCTCACCCGTCAGTGAGAGAGCGAATAAATCAGCTCCGATCAATAGATCAATTTCTCCAGGTTTGTCAAAACAGGGGTCTGCAAGAACAAAATCATTTAAGGATCCCTTCACTTGAGGTGAGACTGGGATCTGAGGCAGTGGTGAAGTGATACGCTTCAAAACCAAGCATGGATGATGGTAGGCTAAGCGTTGACCATTAACTGCAGATATATCAATGTGCACTATTCCTCTAGAATGAATTAGTAAGCCAGAAATTCCTTGGATTTCATCATGTGCTCGAGTACGGGAGGCACTGATGAGCTGAACAGCTCTTTCAGATATCAATGTAAGTTGAGATGCAGAGTCGAGCACAGCACGGAGTACAGTTTGCTGACCATCTTTGGAAAACACCTGAACTAAACATGTTCCAAGTAAAATTGTTGTTTTAGTTGGGTTTAACTGGCTAGACAATCCTACAAGAGCACTTTTATTCACTGGTGCGGTGACATGGCTTTGGGGTGCGTTATTTGTAGGCGGCTTACCATATTTTTTTTCAAAAACCTTGGTTGGGTAACTTGACTGATGTTGTGTGGGAGTTGAGTCATGTAAGAGAGTGTGATGTCGCTTTGAACAAATTCGACACACTCTATGAGAAGGACAGTTATTAGTATCATGTAGATGGCCTAGGCAGTTGGCGCATAGATTATTTTTACAAGTGAATTCAACTCTATCACCTCTACTTTTAGCCTGAAAGGCTTGACACTTGTATATATTGTGATCGGATGCTTGACAAAACTTACAAGTGTTAGTCACTGTGACGAAAGCTGTTTTAGCTTGAGAGGAGTAAGGTTTACTATCTCGAATAGGTTTAAGCCTATAACTATTAGATTGAGTCTTTTGCACTGAAGGGTATCTTGTGTTAGCTGAGGGACCAAGACCGATACTAGCTCCATCTAATCGTTTAAATTCTCTTTCAAGGAATTGAATTAGATCATTTACTGCAGGTATGTCATTGTTTGTGATGCGAGAATCCTCAAAAGATTTTCTTAAATCAGTAGGTAACTTTTTCAAAAGCGTTAGGACAAGCAGAGTATTTTCAGCTGTTATGTCATGGTTGAGATTTTTCAAAACTTGAGTGTTCTCTTTATAAACTGTGAGAAAATGTTGGAGACTTTTGAGAGAACCACTACTTATGCATGGCAAATCAATGATTTTTGTAACAAGCTGAGTTACAACACGCCTTTTATTGTCATAGCGATCCTTAAGCAGCCTAAGTGCAACATCAAAGTTTTCTGCAGTTATGCTTAAGCTCTTTACTAAATCTAAGGGTTCACCACTTAAAGAACTAAGCAGATATTGGAACTTACTCACAGGGGCCAAAGTTTCATTCCTATTAATAGAAGCCTCAAAAATATTGTAGTAGCTAACCCATTCTTCGTAGTTACCGCTGAATTTGGGCAACTCAAATTTGGGCAGTCGCAGAGATGGTTGGGTGGGAGGTGTTACTTCTTTAGTTTTAGCAGGTAACACTATTTTCAAGTCACTGATCAGAGAAATGTACAAAGCCGAAATTTCATCTTGCATAGAGCATGCTTCAGTTTCGTCATAATCAGAACCAGGATCATCATAAACCACTTTATCGAATAAAGCTTTAAAATCAGAGAATAAACCTCTAACTTCATCATCATAGTTGTGTAAGCGCTGAATGGAAACAACATTTAATGATAGAGTTTCTGAGAGAATAATTTGGGCTGACACAAACTTGCTTATTTTCTGAAGCCTATTTTTGACAAGTTTTGCCTTTTTCTCTAGTGTAGAGAATCTCATTTTAACAGACCATTTATGTAATCAACAGAGTAAGCTATAGGCCTAAGTTTATCATAAGTTTAGGCCTATGTAAATATTCCCCAACACCTAAATATCAAAATAACTCCAAGTCTTAGACCTAACAATAAAGCAAATTAATAGCTCAGAATAAATCAATTCATTTACATTCACTCTATAAGAAATAATGAATGTAAAATTATATTTCACTTTACCATCAGACCCAAGATAGACATAGTAAATAAAAGTAAAGTCTATTTAACACAAGTCATTTCATTTGAATCAGTATTTTCGCAGAATAAATTGAGTAGGGAAGTATTTATTATGAGCAATATCCTTAATATAGACAAGAATCGATTCAACCACTAATATTTCGTTTAATATTCACACAAAACAATATTTTCCAAGATGTAAATAAACTTGAAGGTTACGTTTATATTTTGATTCAATTCACACAGCTGTATGTAGCTGGAGTGTGTTTTATATTCAGTCAGCTGATTTCCTGTGCTTGAAACTGAGTTTTACATATGATCAATTTGAAGAAGCAATATCATTGGGCGATTTATTCTGTTTTACGAATCTCGACGCTCATTGGTTCTTGCGACGTGCAGACTGTAGGCAGAGCGCTCTAGTGGAGAAGTTCGCTACCAAGGTGCATCGCAAGGACAGAAAATATAAAATGCCTGACTTTCTGATAAGTGAAAATATGTTAGAAAATTAAGGACGAAACAAAGTGCAGACAAAAATTATTGTTAATGACAATAATTGATATGGTGAATTGATTGAGAAACTTAGAGAAAATATTAAATATCCTAACTAATTCCTGATTTCAAATAACTAGTTGAAAGGAAATATGACGTGATTCATGTAGCAGTGGGAGGACATGAGCATGAAACTAACATGAAATATTCACGTCTGAGATGGCACAGGGGAATGAAATAAAATATTATTTATTCACCAAAACTAGTAATGGAGAATACAAATACTGCTCTAATTATTTAGAGAAGTGACACTTTTAAGAGTTTAGTTGTACAATTTTAACAGTTACAGTAGCTAGGCTAATAAAAGCACAATATATTATTAATGATATGATTTTCGTCCGACTCGACAGGACCAGCGGATGGGGGGTAAACTTGCCTAAAAATGTTCAAATGGACTGTATGTTGAAAGAGCAATATTAAAAACTTGTCACTAATTATTTAACAGATATAATGAGATTGATGAGGTACCTTCCTTTTAACTGAAGTGTTGAGAAGACGAAGCCGGTAGACGTACACGAGTTTCTTCTGCTGGCCAGCTATTGCGTATTGCTCGTACACAGACCCGGACCGGCAGTAGTAGTGTTTCACTTCACAAATGTTCAATAGTTCACTTTTACTTTTAATATGTGTCACTAATAATAATTAAATATACTTTGGGGTTAAGAGATGAGAGCAGCAATTGGGAGTTAATTGTGCCGGGGACATGTTAGTAGTTGCATGAATGCAAGAGAACTGGGGCGAGATTGGGGTTTCCACTTTCCAGACATCACGTGACAGGACAAAGGTTATTGTATGATATGAAACGTCTGGAAATATCTAGGTAGCGCTTGAATACGGAACAAAATTATTTATAGATCACGTGGTTTTAAGGTAAGAAGGTTGTAAGGTACTAAATTAATACTAATATTTGACTGAAAGGTGAAGGCAAATACTACATTGTATATTCATAACCAAGTAAAGTAACACAACATTAACTTAATATCCATTAGAATAAAACTGGAAAGACGGATGTCTCAGCAAAAGACATCAATACACTAGATTTCATATTGACATATTTTATATGTATTGATATGTGTGTTGACATATTAAACACTAGATTTTGTATGCTTTTAATATATGTTTCCATTAGGGAATTTAATAACTACTCTATGTTAGGTAATCTCGTCGTGTATTTTGTTGACAAGAACATGACAAAACGCCTTTGTTTCTTGCTCTTATTAGGTAATTAATCTCGTGTGGTATTGTGTTTTCACGCCCCTGTCAACCCATCCCACGCTGTACTTAGTCTCCAAACACGTGCATTGCATTTGGTATAGTTTCTGTACACCATTGTTTTGCACATTTGCATTTTTACTTTCTCCCCCTATACCATAGTATATGGAGAAAGTATTGTTTTCGTCAAAATTTTCGAGTTTGAGTTTTGAGTGGATATATTTGTTTTGGGTCCCCCTGGACCCAAAAAAGTGGTTTTCGAAGTGATGTCTGTGTGTGTGTGTGTGTGTGTGTGTGTGTGTGTGTGTGTGTGTGTGTGTGTCCGTGTGTCTGTGTGTCTGTGTGTCTGGATGTGTACAGAGCTAGAGACTACACCTGTGGTCCGATTTCGATGAAATTTGGTATGTAGGTTCTAATCCATGGTATCTCTAGGCGTTTTTTTCATTTTTTGGAAATTTTGATTTTTAATGGGGATTTTCCCATAAAAACCCATAAAAAACCGGAAAAATCGGATTTTCTAAAAAATGGCCCGAACGATTTTGATAAAAATTTAGTATGTTGTAGCCCTTTAAATTCTGAACAAAATGGTACAAATCCCATTTCTGTAAAAATTACGATTCAAAAGTTATGGTAAATTATGTTATTTTCCCATAAAAACCCCATAAAATAATGAAAAATAGGATTTTAGACAAAAATCCGGTTTTGGTATAACATAGTATGTTATGGTCCTTACAATTTTGATATTTTTTTTCATTTTTTAGAAATTTTTATTTTTAATGGGGATTTCCCCATAAAATAACGGAAAAATTGGATTTTCCCCAAAATGGCCTGAACAATTTTGATAAAAATTTAGTATGTTACAGTCCTTTATATTCTGAACAAAATGTACAAATCCCATTTCTGTAAAAAAATACGGTTATTGTAAATTATGTTATTTTCCCATAAAAACCCCATAAAATAACGGAAAATCAGATTTTTCCAAAATTGGCTCGAACGATTTTGATAAAAATTTAATATATTATAGTCCTTTAAATTCTGAAGAAAATTGTACAAATCCCATTTCCGTATATTTACTCTCACCGCTTACACATGATAAAGGTTGTTGACAAACTTATGGGAGAAAGTATGTGTCAGAATACTGATACCGTTTATGACAGTTAAATAAACTAGGTATTTATTGTATTAATAAGATCCTAGACATCTTACGATTGTTTTATGCATACAAACAACACGAAATCAGTATTACTTACATAGAGGTAAAACAAGCGATATAGTGATGAAGCTTATCAACACCACCATAAAAAGACGGAGCTAAAACTGAAGTATTAAGTTATACGTTTAGAAATTAAACATTAGCGTTCCATCTTCACCATTATAAAGTGAGTGATTTGGTAAAAATGTAGGCCTACCCTAATTACCTACCATCCTATTGTTTTCAATTGGAAAATTATTTTTAATGGTTCAAAAATATGCGGGGGTACACAAATAATATCCTTTAATAATAACTCAAGATATTTAATAATAATACAAATAATTCAACCACGTAATGAACCAATGAAAGATTTAAATAAGACCTTATATTATTATACATGATAAATAATATATAAAGATAAATAACATGCATTTGACAGTAGGATAGGCATAAATCATGTGATTTTCTTATAAATAAAGTTAGTAAATAACCATGCTTGTAAAGATCTGCCATATTTACGACTACTTCAGCTAACCCTGGCAATTTAGTGGTCATTCTATTTTGGAGGACCGATGCTACTAGGTGTCGAAAGAGAGTAATTTCTCTACCTTTCTTGACACTATTAAAACATATACTAAGCACACAATTATGTTCAAAGGAAGTCTCCCTACAATAATCAGTCACATGTTTTTATTTATCACCCATCACTAATTTCAAAAAATATTTTGTTACAAATTGGTTTTTTACAAATTTATTTGTTGACATAAGAATGTCCATCTTTACTATTTGTTTTTCAAGCCCGCGATACCTGGAGACAATATCAAATTTGACGATCTCCAGAACACGGTTCGACATAGAGTTATAATTCGGTCGTAAACTAGCAGTTGTTTGCTGGAGTCATACTGGTCTTCTTAACGACAGTTGGTGTAGTTTAAGAGCAATTGCAGGATGGTAACGTCTTGCAAATGTTGTAAATCATTGGCCGTTTGTGACACAACGTTATTTTATTGTTTATTATCGAATGACTAATAGAGTAAGTTAACTACAGATTCAGTTAACCTTGTTTGAGAGAATCGCTGGTCTTTATTCTCTAGGCAGAATTATAGTCCATAAGTAGTGTTTTCAACTACCTGGCTGCCATATATCTCATAGCTGATTTAACGATTATTTATTTATTTTATTTCCAACAACAAATAGACAAAACATACAAGAAATGAAGAACTAGACGTGGTATGCAATGTAGCAGAACAATATAAAACATAAAACAACTACGTTACAGCCATATAGTAAGACATTTAGAAAACTAGGCATTAAATGAATAATAAATGGTACAAAATTAATACAATAGCAAGGATAGTGACGAATGATGATATTAAAAGAAGATTTTGGTGAACATTTGTGTCTAATAGGTCAAACACATTGCTAAGTTCAAATGAAATACAAGAAAAAAAATAGATGAACAATGCAACTTTTGTTTGTTAATTTATTGTGATTGGCGGCTTTGACTATGACGGAAAAGGTGTTCAAAAAATTAGATGAACCGCACTTCTTTGTGAGTGTATTCTAGATTCTAGCTCACCAAAGGAAATACGTATTTAATACCTTTTCTGTGATTTTAGGTACGTTACATATGCATATTTGTTTGCTTTACATTTTACAATTAACACAAAAAATAGCATTACAGTACTTGTCAAAAAAATACGCGGATATTC